CCCCAAAACCCCAAAACCCCAAAACCCCAAAACCCCAAAACCCCAAAACCCCAAAACCCCGTATGTATAAATTTGGGTTGAATTTTAATTCGAAATTATAGGATTTTGTTTCAAATATGAAAGACAATCATTTTATACCCCGAAGGTAAGTTAGCCTATCCTGGGCGGTCTCTTTGGTTTCAGAATGTGTAAACTTGTTATAGATTACAATGCAGCGACCTTGCATGCAAAAACCACAGAGTCTACTTCTGTAGAGACCATCAAGTCTATTCCTGCAAAGGATGTTCTAGCAAAATGCATTACAAATGCCAACTTGCCATCATTCAAGACCTCAAAGATCTCAGAACTGATGTCAAAGAGGTTCAGAGACTAATCTTGAGGTTTCAGGAGATGGCCACAGAGAATGGATTGGAAGTGTATCTTCCGAACATTGATAGTGTCATCAAAGATTTCCAGAAAGACTTGATTGAAATTGAAAGAAAGATAAATGAAGCCATTGCTCATGACCACCATGAGCAATTTGATACTCTCAGGTCTCAAATAAGAGAGTACGTCTCGAAATAACTCTAAATTTACACTCCCCAGTTGAGGCAGTTATATCAGCTCACATTGGCATATAGGATACAGAATCACATGGCTGATGAACAAGTCGTCAAAGATATTTTGTTCTTGTCCATCACCAGAGATGCAAGTAGATATGACCTCCCGAGGGCCAGTGACGGTAAGCAACAGGCCTGACTTGTAGAGTTCTCTTCTGCCATCAAGATCGAGCAAACAATTGACGCTGTTGTCAAGCAAAATGCTAAATTGATGGAGAAAAAGTTGGCAAAAAAAGCCAGAGAAATCGAACAGCAATGCAAAAACAGACTCTCAGAAGAGTTCAAAGAGCGCATACAGGAGTTGCAAGCACAGAAAGAAGCTCAAGACATTGAAATAGAAGAGCAGAAACAAGCTACAGAGCAGGTCCTCATGCAAGCCCAAGATATGCTGAAACAGAAGCAAGAAGCCTTCGCTGAGAATCAGACCCTACAAGATCAGAAAGCGCAACTTGAAAGAGAGTTATCACAGAAAATTGAAGAGATCAATCAAGCCAAAGATCAAAACGAGAAATACCAGGAGGAAATCTCCAAAATGAGTGAAGGTAAGTAAACTAAAAGATCATCTCATAGAAATCAAAGAAAATACAAGTAATGTAATAGAGTCTAAAGAAACAATCAGAGATCGCATCAAAAGTACTCACAAAGACTTCGACCTTGATTCAACAAAGCTTGAACTCAACATGGAAGAAGAAAAGTCAAAGAAATTAGTGAAAGAGATGGAAGAGAACAAGTATCCTCTTGGGGACATGCACAAGCTGAAGATTGACAGAATGGTCAATGAAGATACAATCCTCAACAAGTTTATGACTTTCTCTGCTCCTTCCTCTCTCAAACTCTTTGTCTTCAACCGTATCTATCTCAGTAATGATGATGGTGACAAAGCAGTGAGAATAAAGTTCTACCTGGAAGGCCTGAAGGAGATCCTTCCGAGAGTCACCAAGGAAGTTTACTTGGAATGCTTGGTGGTCGATGACACTGACCTGAGTCAAATAGTCAAGTGGGCTTCCAATGCAGAGAGACTGACGGTTAGGTTTAGCAAAATAATATTGTTTAGGCCAGGATCCATCATAAAATAAGAGCGAGTTTACAAAATGTAAATTCTGTACAGAAAACAATAACTCAATAAAATTAGTGATGACTGCAAGCACTTTTATGAATTTAGAGACATTATAAGATTTCTTTATGGATGCAGAGGTTGAAAGCAAGATAATAACTTCCAAATTACCATAGACTTAACGAATTAGTAAAACAGATTTTTCAAATATTTAGTTTCATTTTACTTCGATAGAAAATCAAATCAATTGAGCTTATTTAGGAAAGAGCACAATTTTAGAGATTAACCAGAATTAAAAAAATTAACTAAAACAAAATGTAAATTAAACAAATTAAATATTCACACTTTCAACCGAAATAAACCCAAAATTTCAACTTCAGCCTCTCTAGATTTCTCCTCTCCTGGCCAAGCCAAACTCAAATACCTCAGCTTTTATAACTGAGGATTTAACCCCTGGTGAAATATGAAATGGAATGAGTCTCCTGAAAAGTTCGAAAAAATCATAATTGCAATCAAGAACTCTTCTCTCAAGGACTCCCTCACCCAGGTCAATGTACAAGGCTGAAAGATATCTACTTCGAAGGTTTCTGAACTACTGAGTTCGCATGGCCTATCTCACATCAGTGCTATTACTGAAGGAAACGAACCTTTAGATGATTAATTGGTTTCAAGTTAGAATCAGTGTCTGGGGTTTTGGGGTTTTGGGGTTTTGGGGTTTTGGGG